GAATAAGGCAACGTAATAGGGAGAAGAAACTTAAAAAAGCAGAGCAAGTGTCTCTTAACCAAAATCAAGAATCCGGTACTTCCAATCCTGAAGGGATCATATCAGCAGTATCAAATCCCGTGATTAAAATTTCAGCTGAGATGTCCCTGCTGAAAAATAGTCATAGGAAAAAAGGTGCGGAAAATATTTCTCAAATGATATCTGATGGTATTCAAAACGATTCACAGTCTCAAAATGTATTCTTAGTTCTTCTAACGATATATTATTACAACAAAGCCAAATTTCTTCTACAGTACCACTGCTTACTTTAGCTCAATTATTCGATAAAGCGACTGATGCTGAATATGTTGCAATTCATGCGAATCAGAAAGAAATTTTGTGCTGGTACTACTATGGAAAGAAATTTATAACTCAAGTTAATGAAGTTACCAAAGCTAACAAAATTGGTGAGAAAAAAGTGAAAGGAATTATTTATAATAAAATGTTAGAGGATCTTTCCATTCTCTGTAAAAAGAGATCTAAAGAAACGGGTTTACAACTCCCAGAAATCACACGTAAATACTTGCAAGGAAAAACTCAGAAAGCTGTAAGGATATATAATTTATTTGAAAAGGTAGGTGTAGACAAAATTAAGTATATTACAACATATACTACAAATGCTATTTCAGAGTTGACTAATAATAAACTTCAAGAGATCATAGATAATTTCTCCAAGCAGAATCTGCGCCTTAACGGCAATTCTTCAGATGATTCCTCTAGAATCGATCCAGTAGATGTAAGTACATCATCTGTGCCTCAGGTAATATCATCCAACAGATCCAGACTTCCAGTTTCTATCTTGCCTGAAGATCCCGAAGAGAAATGAAAACATATCATTGGGTTGGTGTTAGAGCATTTTCCTTCTCTATATTTAAGCGATAATAGTGAACGTGATGAGCGATTTGATCTTAATAGTTCAACACTCTGTCTATTATGCAAAGGAAACCATAAAGAAGAAAGTATATGGAATGATATAAGAGGTAAATGAGGCGCTAGTGAATATTGTGGAGAACGAACTTATTATATCACATGCAAAGATCCTCTTAATCCTGGAACCCCAATAATATCTGTAAAAGTATAGACGAAAACTTTGTCATGTGAGATCGATCACCTGAAATGTGTAGAAGACATTCGGTAAAATTCTTGCCAAAGAATAGGGGTCATGTGACGTATGAATAGCATATATATTTATTTTTTTCTGACTCTATTTTGCATTTATTTTTTGCATTCATGCTAGTATCATACTAACAAAACAATATTCGAAAATAGTTAGTTTTCTTATTTCGCATATGGGATCGCTAAGAGATCATCGGCTGGAGGCACTAATCCTTCGTCATTTTTTATTGATTTGCAAGGGATTAATAAATGACAAAATGCTGTATGTAATTGCTAGTGAAAATCCGGGGAATGTTTTCTTCTACGAAGATTACAAGTGCTATAAAATATGGGGCTGGCTGATAAGAGGTATTGACAAAGCTAGTGTATCCAATATGTCGGCTTCGAAACAAAGCAGGATATTGAGAAAAACAGGCAAAACTCCAAAATATGACAACTTATCTCTTGTCAATCATAGGAAGCTTGCTTATAATATCTTGAAAAATCTCGAGAATGATATCGTCAGTGAAAAAGAAATTCTAGAACTAGACCAATGTTCTAAATGTAATAATGGAATTTTAACACGACCTCTGAAGGTGATTACTATCCTCACCTGTAGCCACACCTTCCACAGGATATGCATTGAGAAAAAGCTTCTGCTGATCATGCTGAATACATGTCCATTTCCCGATTGTAAAAAGGATGTTAATATTATAGAACCATTTCCTAATACTAATGAAGAGTCGCTAATTTCAGCTTTATCCAATAGGATGAATGAAAGATCTATCCTATCTTCACCAATCTTACAGATGGAAGGGGTTGAGAATATAGGATTCCAACCAGTCAAAGTTTATTTAAGATACGCCAAATGTTCCGGAGACCTTTCTTCATGGCTTCCACCCGTAAGCTCTATTCGTTTCCCCCTTTAACCTCAAGAGCCTCTGAAACCTCTTGTATATTTGACCTGCAAACATATTGTGCATTATGAGTGCATTGTTAATCCTCGAAAGCTATGCCTTATATGATATGGAACTGGAAGAAGAAATGGATATTGATGATAAAGTAGAACGAATCCTTTGAGATCAACTCAACCCAAGCAATCCACCTCTGTTTCTTCAAGTGGTAAGGGTAAAAATGTAAAGATACTCAATCTATGGAAAAATCCTCTAACAAGAAACCAAAAAAGACTGGTGAGAAGAAGAAGGTATCAAGCATGCTAAAACAACTTATCGAAGAATTATTAACAGATATTTCCGATGGTGGTAGGAGCTTGGAAGAAATAGATGAAAGTGCAAGTAACTTTTTACAACTCTCTAAAAGGATTGATCATGCTGAAACTAAAAACAAAGAAGCATCATAAGGTCTCATTTTCAGTTATTTTAATTTTGGGGAAGCTGTATTTAAACGATACAAGGAATTAAAACCTGAGTTTGGCAAGGATGGATCTGAAGTGATAGTTAAAAAGGAGGTTAGGGTGGCAATTTTCGAGATGAAATGCTCTGATAAAGCTTTGCGAAAAAGAACAGAGAGATCCGAAAATTTTTATAAGCTTTTTAATAGCATTGGTAAAGAAAAAATAGTCCAGATTAGAACTATCCCCTCATCATTCATCTTAAATCTAATTGGAGATGAAACCAAATATGTAATGGCTGAAATCTTAACACATAAGGTTTGACGAGCTCAGACAAACTTGTCCAGACTCGGCCATCATTTTTAAAAGAGTATGGTGACTTTTTTATTTTGAAGACTTTAGGTTTAATAAAGTTCTACCCAATAATTAGGGCTTATATTTTTATTTGCTTTGCGAATGTGTATGAGTATATGAAATGTATTTGGAATATGTAATAAATAATTTTGTAAAATATGTAAAGTATTGCGCTATATTATCACTTAACATATAATACTATATTATGTCACATGATTCATCCTTCTGCACAGTTTTGACGAGCTTGGACAAGCTTGTCCAGACTCTACCATCAGAAAAATAAGCTAGTCATATGCACAGCCCTCTCGGGAGATAAATTTAACCTGATGCTCACAAGTTTCGGAAGATAAATTTAACTGGATGTTGATCCTGGTTCTGCTCAATTTTGACGAGCTCAGACAAGCTTGTCCAGACTCTACCAACAGAAAAAATAATATTTTTTTGCACATGCATTTTATTCATAATCATTTTTCTAAATTCCATTAGATCAAAGGCTATCCGGCTAAAGAAAAAATCTGAAATCTGGTTGGCCGATCATCTCATGATTTATAGAAACTCGCCAGCTTCTAGAACTATTGAGGAACTGGCCCTTTCTCACATATTACTTTACAAAAATATAATAAAGAGCTTTATCTTTATTTTTAAGCATGTCATGAGTTTTACAAGTGATATTAATATTTATTAAACATATGACTATATTGCAATGAATATTACATTTGTTTTCATATTTTACTCCCCCCAATTCTCCAGGAAATACAAACTAACTAGCATTTTTTAAGATGTAGAAAAAAAAGGCTTTTATCTTAGGTTAGCTATATCAACTGAGGAAATTTACAGTTATGAAATAATAGCCAGATTTGTATTAACGAAAAAATCTTATTCCTGTTGCTCGTTTGACCTTTCACCATAATTGATGGTAACATTTATTACATTCGCATTTTGTGAAAAAGAAGGGATAGTTGGGGTTACAGATCTGGAGTTGTTAGGTGATAATTTGTTTGGTGCTCGCTCAGGTCTCTTTGAAGAGGAACTTGATTGTTGTTCAGAAAATAATGCATCGATATCATCATAAACACTATCTGTAGAAGCTTTAGATCTATAAATTGATGAGAAATCCATAGACGCTCTTTGTGATGATGATAACTTGCTTATTCTAGTTAACCTTCTAATACCTTCATTGTGTGCTTGTTCAAATGGTAATTCTAGAAAATAGATTCACATTATTATTAACATAGCAGGGTTCGACACAATTTGCTCAAGATACATATCTAGTTTTAACCAAAACTCGCTAGAGAACTCTTCATAAATCTCTTCACTGATTAAACTTCTTTTCATTCCAGTACCTTCTTTATATTTTTGAGCCGTCTAATAAAATAATAATAAGTATAACGACTATGTAGATTTCTCCATAGAATCAAGTAAATCGCCACTTACTTTAAATGCCTTTTTGAGATTTGTGAACTTCCTATTACAGTCTTTACCAGTAAAATAATTTGTATTTTCACATTTGTTTATTTTATTAGCAATATCATCACAGAAAAGCCGTTTCTTCTTATTTGAAGTAGCATGGAACTCAGAATTTTTCAGTTTTTGTTCATCAATGAGAAGTCGAACCTGAGCGTCACCCCACTCAATAGTTGCCATATTTTTTCATGGTGGAAAGATTCTCTAGGGAGCGCCTGTTTTATGAAGAAATATTGAGTGATATGTTAGACTTATTAATGTAATGATAAATCAAATAATAAAGGTGGCTTAGATGCTACACAAAATCTGATTAGCCGACTATTCCACATGATTTTAAGAAACATCTCAGCACCATTATAGTGACAGGAGAGTTCCAAGGAGTTGGCAGGGAGCTAGGATGATACATGTGTTATGATATACATCATGCTACAAACTGATTTAGCTGGGATGCTGTGCATATGCATGTAAATATAAAATTAGCTTAGCCCGAGAAATGACCCTATATAAATTCCAATCAAAAAAATAAATTTGGTTTTAACAGTATGTAGTCTCTCAAATTGGCTACAAATCAATTAATTGTTAATCAGTAAATCCGTATAAATTTGAATGATGATATTCTATAGTATATGTTACTAAAGAATAACTAAAATTCGCTAAAAACACTATAAATCAATAAAATCAGTATATTTTGCTAATTATGTCAGCTATTGCCTTAGAAAGCGCTATTGGTGTCAAAATGATTATTGACAAAAAAGAATGGCGACTAACTAAGCCTGTTAGTAACCGTCCTGGATATGATATGGAATATTATAGAGTATATCTCAGGAATTACTTCAGTAGCATGAATATCAAAAAATTCCTTGATAATGAAAAACTCTATGACAGCTTATCAATAATGAGAAAGGAGGAGTCTCTAATGCAGTGGGATTACGAGTTAAAACTAACCTTCAATCTTTATTGTCGCAAAAAAAATATAGCATATACCATACCTTCTGCTTGTTTGCAGGATATGGTGAAGTCGAGTTTGATAAATCATATCATGAATACTATCGTCTCAAAATCCACAAAAATAATTTGGCAGTCTGCTTTCGTTGTTGGAAACTATTTCAAGTTAATGAAATAAAGCCAACCAAATCATACCACCATGGATGGCATAGATTTATTGAATTGATTGAAGCTAAGGATATAATGCAGGAACATTGGGACCAAGAATGTTCCAATCCTTTAAGTGATCTTGGACGTATAAGGGTTAAGCAACAAGCTTTTGATAAATTTAAGGAAAATGATCTGATAGGTATTTACTGTAATAAACTACGACCCCCTCTTAATAAGTACTGGGATTTTGTAAGGAATAAGCCATACTCGTTGACTCCAAACATATTATTTATCTCATCTCTGTATGTGAAACAAAATAACTTATTACTATCCACAAAACATCTTAATCAGCCAAAAGGTACCACAATAAGATTGAGAGATAGGGCAGAAATCACAATTGTTTAACTGTTTTGACTGAGCGATTCTTAGCAATGTTTTAATTAAAGATTAATATTGTTTAGCCAAAAATGTAATGTATAATATTCTTTATTTTTTGCGCTATATAATCTGCATGTATGATCACCTGGTAAAATTGTGAAATGTATTACCTGCCGGATAAAAATGTGATATACCTATTCTAGGTTAGATCCTCTAATATATACCGAAGTATTTTTAGGAAGTTCAATGAAGCAATCTTGGGGATTCTTGATTCCTAAATACTACTATAATTATGGCTTTGAAAATTTCTATGCAACAGTTATCCAGCGAGCTTACAGAAATTACAAGAAAAGACCTGAATCTTCGGCAAAATGAGTTTGGGAGGTGGTGAGGAATGATGATACTCCTGATAGAAAGAAATTCTTAGGTATACTTGGATATAATCAGATAGTAAAATATTCTGAGACGCAAGAAGAGTATGCTATAGCTTGCAATGAGTTTTATGCTTTATTTAGAAAAAGTTACTCAAAATATATTGGAATAATTAATCCAGTCAAATTAACTCTACCATATAAGAAGTATGTTTATTGTTCTTCTAGTAGATAGATAGAAGTTAAGAAATATAGTTAAGACAACGATTGAATAATATAGCATATGGAAGTGTTGAATTCTCGTAAAGGTTTCTGTTTGAATTGCTATCTACTATTGACTATTATGAAAAATACTCAAAAAATCATTTTACTACCCCGTAACTAAATTTAGGATTACATATTTTCACTCCACTACAATGCATGTAGGCATATGCAACATAAATTAGCACGTTTTCGATCCTCATTAAAGTACATATGATGTAATAGGTGATACTCCACAAATTATCTGTGAAACTATACTTGTATAACAAAATAATTTCACACATAAACCAATCCCCAAAATATTTCAAATTTTTTCCCTTATATTTAGCGGAATAGCATTTAGCAGAATATCATATATATTTGCTCTGAAGTGACAAGATTATTTCTATTATATTCTGAGTAGAGTAATATCTATATAATATTACTGGGTCTTAGTATTAAGCGGTCGGGTGAGTAGAATATAAAAAAAGTCTATATGCATAATTCCTAACATCTTTCTAATTGTTGAGATCTTCAATGCACATTCTATATGCCCTTATTCTCTAACACAAAATTTTAGCGTAAAGTGCCTTGCATATTTCTCCTATCTCTTCCCAAATATGAATGTGAGTTAGAGAGGACGTGAATGGGAAATGCAAGACATTTAAAAAGGCCGTATGGCAAAAAGGTATTGGAATACTATTGGAATTTACCGTACTTTGCCTAGCAAGCTTTATACTAATATTAACTTTTTTATTCTATCAAAACATGGAAGAATTCCTTTTAACAAGAGAACCTTTCGATATTGTCAGAATTTCTACGGCATTATTTGTACGAGTAGAGGAAGGTGAATGGATAGGCATTCTTGAAAAGGAGGTGGAGAATTTTGAGAATGTTCTGAAAAGAGTCTTAGAATAAGTCCCTTCAAAAGATGTCGAGCGAAGAAAGAAACTTCAAAGTTTTGGTATCGGAAAAAAATTAGCTAAATAGGTAAGGCGATAACTATTTTCATGACGAATATATGGATATGATGACATGTTTTTTAGGTTTTCCAGTATGGTATTATCACTAGCGAAGATGCTGATGTTCGTTGTAATATTATTACTTCCCACACAGTAGTAATTAGTTTTATACCATATAGCTACATACCAAACATTTTGCCAGCATTTGAGACTTATGAAAATGGAAACCTAATCTGATCCCGCGATGTAACATTAAATTATTTGTCAACTGAGTCTTGGAAACTAATTATAAATATGTTTTAGGTCACAACTGCATTTGAAGATCTATGTTCACTCTCAGAAATGGAAGCATTAGTAATTGATACCAAAGCCTGATATGGAGATGCAAATACAAATTTACGATCTCTGAAGTATGACGTTGGACGATGCATAACTGAGAGCACTAGTTATAAGAAAACCATGTGGGAGAGAATAGAAATGGAACTAGAGGAAATAAATGTGGAGAATCTTGGATTCGATCATCCGATTTGTTCAGGTATTCTAGATATCAAGTCAGAACCCTTTACAAATATACCTGGATCAGTTTCTGATATTTTTAAGGAATCATTTCGAAGATATAAGTTAGAATAGAATCATTGTATAATGGAAGCCTGTAAAGAATTTATCCAGAATGAAAAATCAAAATTATGGATGAGGTTTTAGGTAATATTAATTATGGAGAATGGTTGGATAAATCTGAAGAATTACAAGATTTAACAAAACAGATATTAGAATCAATGTAAGTCAAGGACTGCACATCTTGCAAAATTGCCAAGAAAAATTTTACTTTACTCATTAACTGATAAATAATTATAGGCTCAAAGTTTGGAAATCGCCAAAATACGAAGCATATATAAAGAAGGGAAAATCAATAAATGAAGGATCATATATTTGTGAAGTGCTCGCGCCATTGATCAATATAGTGATAAGCAATTTACCAGGAAAACCAATAGTATATGATATATGGTAAGCTTGGTTCAAAAAGTTACATCACTATTATATCCTTCGCTATAATTAATATATTTTTAAAAATAAGGGGCGAAAAAGGAAGTTTAGCTAGTGCCATATGAAAAGGTTCTCATAAAATTGCCTGAAGAGCTGATTATATGATGATAGCCCAGTTAGGAAAAAAGGCTGAACTTGAAATTGTGTATCTTGAGACTGGTAGACCTAATTTCAGTCAGGATAAGCAGGTTTGTAATCACAAAAAATTAATCTGTTTTTCCAAGGATTCTATAGACACTACGAGGAACATAAAAAACCTTAAAAAGATATTTAACCAACCATCAACAAGGCAGAATCTGACCATATTTACTATTAACATCGCAGGTACAAATAAATACTCTATTTTTTTATATATTCATAAATCATTCATATTCCGCTCTATCCATTTCTAGGCGATGTTATAGAACTTTATGTCATGCGAAAAGAATCAGGAATTTACAAGTACTGCTTAATAGAGGAAGTGACAATCCCATTGCATATGACTTCCCCAAGTATCGTATACCCGCTTATACATGCATTGATGACTCTGAGAATGGCTGTCGCATATACAATTCACAAGATATTATATAGTTCTGACTCTGAGGATAGTGAGTGAAATGGTAGTAACTGTTTCGACCTCCAAAAATTCATAGAATAGAGCTTTTATACATGTAATTTTTATTAAGTTATATTATTAATAAAGCAAGTGGACTATATAATAAAAATTTTCTTGGCAAATTTCAGCGAACTCAGTTCGCCCAAAATCACATGATTTTTTTATTTTTTACATACTAATACTATATTACGCAAGCATGCAATCCGAAATAAATGATTCCAGATTGACTGATTCATTGAAACAATACATTACCAAACTTGAGGTTGAGAATGATAAAATTAGGGCTGAGAATGTTGAGCTTAAGGCAAAACGAATTAATAAAAAATTTATTATCTGTATTGCGAAAAACATGATCAGCATTACAAATTGTAACGCGTACTGTGATTTTCTTGTATTACGCAATTTGTGGCTTAGCAAAAGTGATTAGTTGCACATGATTTCTTTATAAATAAATGGATTACATGACAGATCTGTGCGACAAAGTAATTTCTCACATATACAAGGTATTTGGCAAATAAAATTTTACGGCCAGTGTTGGTATTTTTTATCTTGAGTGTGTCAGCAGGAGAGCTAAGAGCTTCTAGACTGATAAGGAGGAAAATGATGGATTTACTATCAAAGAAAGAGTTTTACCTTTACGTTTCTCCTCTACTAATACATCAAATTACTTAACTGCAACCATTCATAAGCTATGTCTAAGTAATAGAAACTATAACATTACCTGTATCGATGAAGTCTCCATCAAAGAAGAAACTGTCACGACATATCCGTTATAATAAAATAAAAAAATTAAGTGAGAACAGAAGCACACTGAGAAAACTTCTGAGCTGAAAGAAAGCATAACACCAGTCGTCTCGCTCGATCTTGTCTTCGACCCGTCAAGGGTATACTTACTTTATTTTATCTTTTGGAGTGGGTTATCATATTTTTACATCATGGCGAAGGGATCTAATGTAGTCAAATATTTCTCACCATATTTTTTTGTGTTGATAGAGGGATTACCTGAGTTATTTGTTACAAGTTTGCTTTGGCAAGTTATGGAATTTAACAGAACCATAATCGCTACACTCAATGAAGGTAGTGGCTTTGTGCTTTAACAAAGGTAATTCATTCATTCTGCAAAAACATATGATTCTTTTAGCGTAGCTTGTAGTTATTCAAATTTTTCATATATCATATAATAAGAAGCTAGAGTGGCCAGCGTGATTAACATCTAATTTTATTTAATTATATTAGTATCGAACTCAATGTGATACCTGTGGATTATGCACTTCTGACAAGATTCATTACCTAGAAAAGGAGTGAAGAAGTACTCCTCTTTGTTTTACGGATCTTATATCATCTAAAGAAACCAAGACTCAACATGAAATTTTGACGAGAGAGCTATTCATCGAGATGTTAATTCGGGAATCTAAATTAAATAATAGTAATTCTTTTGAGTCATCCGATATTCCTTCAGATTTTATAACCTTAGTCACTACTGATTTTATTAATAATATTGATGAATCTAACGAGAAAGCAGAACTTGGAATCTCCAATTCATCTTCTATTACCAATAAAAACAAACTTATATGGATAAGTTTTGGGAGGTGGTTTGGGATGAAAGAACTGATTAAACAGAGAGATATACGTCGACATCTAAAACAAAAATGGAAGAGACTTCAACACGCTCTAGATTTGCAAAATGATGCGAATCTACAAGTTATCACAAAGATGATTACTGCGTGTATTACCCGTTGATAAAAAAACAGATTGATTATAAATGCATGTGATTTGAAATCTCCTAAAGGATTAGTTAGGTTTCATTATATAGTAAATCTGGAGTGTGTTGTGGATATGGATAACAAAACGTTAATTCATCTGGAGTTTCTAGATAATCTAGGTGCCGTTATCAAAGCAACCGAAGCTATTAATTTGTACTATTTTCATACATTAGAACACCCGTCACATAGAAGCGAGAATTTCTAGAACAATTTTATAGAACACTTTAGTGTATTTGCATTGAATAATCTCCTCCCTTACACAAGTTCGAATAGTGCAAGTAGTTATAATATCGAACATTTAGAATGTGTCAACAAATTAATTCACGGTCTAGAACAATTGTCGAACTCTGTTAATCGATTTCTTCAAAAATATTATAGGGGCCTATATAAAAACTTGAACAAACTAAATTGGGGTCCGTTCATGTCTAGACTATTCAGGGTTTTTCTAATGGCTGTTATTAATTTTAATACGATAAGCTATTACCATTAGGACGAACATGATGATCCTAATAGTTTTTGTTGTCTAGTCCCTATAAATAATCAGTATAAGGAAAGTATACGGAAATAATACGTTTAAAAAACGTATAAAAAACGTAGAAAAACAG